ATTAGAAACCACTATTTCATTTAATGTTTTTTGTCACAGAATTTTCCCAGTTACTAAAAATATAATTTCTATGCATATTTAAATTAGTGTCTTGTAAGACACATATAGTTTTATTTTTAATTGAGTACATAAAATTTGAATTTTATTTGGCATGTTATCCTCTTCACATGTATTGAAATTGCTGGTATATATGATTTTATATCTATAGATACAATTGTAAAGCTATCTTCTTAAGATTTGTTTTCTATCAGCCTTTTCTATCTAAGGCCATTCTAGCTCAAGTTCTCTGTTTCAGTCAAAGCTGTCCTTGGGCTTCTGTTGAAGCTTGACATTTCCCTCTGCCCACTCCTGCTTTTCTCCCCCCTCCTACGGGTGTTAATCATGAGAGCATTCCTTAATGACTGCTCTGAACGAACGCGAAAATCTACCTTGGAATTGGCTTCATAGGAAAGCAAACAGCCAAATACATTGAGTGCAAAGATATGGTTTGTGAGATATGAATCGCATGCTGCCTGGGTGCCAGTAAAAACGCTATCACTGGTCATGGGTACAGATAGTTCCTGGAATAAAAAGGTGGTGGTTCAATTGTTCAGTGGTAAATTAAAGGACATACTAGTGAAATTAGTGAATTAGCTAGTGTGATGTACCATGTGTTTGAAAATGTGGGAGGGGGAGAAGTAACTCCAAGGGCAGCAGAACTGGGTACTACCGCAACAGGATAACTGAAAACTAAGAGCAACTAATCACCAACTGAAAGCAGATTTGACAGTCAGGGGACCTCTGCTGTAGCATCTGCTGAAGGGAGAGGGTACAGGAAGCTGAAGAAATGGCCCAGGATATAATTATCAGAGTAGTCAAGCAACAAAAATTGTTAAATTACCAAGCAAGCATTTCTACTATGCAAAGGCCAGGGTCTAGCTTGGGAAAGAATGGGATCACTATTAGGACAACCCAGATTAATGCCCTTGAAAATCACAAATCTCCCGATTTCCCTGAACCCTGTAAGACTGCACAAGTGGCCCACTCATCCCAGTTAAGAGCTGTCATCCTGCCTCCTTGTCTAAAGTTAATTAATGCAGAAGCCTTGCCCTTGCGGACACTACACACCCCACTCAGTTCTGCCTCTTCCTTCCCATTCGGCCAACATGACCTAGCTGAGAGCATGAGCTGCACCTGATAAGAGAAGGGAGGGGAAGAGAGGGCCTATAACTGCAAAATACTGCACCATCTAAGCAGAAGGCACCTGCAGAAGCTGGGAGAAGACATTTGGAATTGCATTCTGTGGGCGCTTAACAGGGGTCCACCTTTTCGATTTAGTGTGATCAGAAACATTTTCTCCCTTTCCGTTGTATCACAAAAATGAATTTAAGCCCATTTAAAAATATTAAGTATTTTAAATGCACAATTACAAATATAGAACTATGTTTTAATGCATATAACATTTGAGGTACTCTTCTATGCCCTGGGATTTCATATGAATGCAGTATGTTTCCTGCGTTTGAGGAAATCTGCAGTCAGACACACAATATGCTTTCTGAGCAAAGAGAAAAAACACAGTAGACTAATGTCAAGATTCAAGAAAGATTTTCTGGAGAACTTGTTTTCTGAACTTAACAGTGAAGGTTGAATTAGAGTTAGTGAGACCTTCCATGTATCCCTTCCTCCACCCAAAAAAGACAAACACTATTTGGAAAAGTTGAAAAAAATATAAGCCAAATCTTAGAGATAAATATTGTGAATTATTGGTCAATTGATAACATCCCTCAACTTATCAATCTTACCATCCTGCGCAGTGTGGAAAATAATGAGAAAATGTACACTCCTGTTCCGGGAAAGCATCCTCAGAAAAGTTATAAGTGCAAAACATTTCTAAGGCATCCTGAATTCAGAACTCACATATAAAGTCATTGTTATTTTATCTATTCTCTTCTGATAAGCATCATCAGGGATGATTCAATGACAAATCTTCATTAAATCTAAATTGTATCCCATATTATTTTAACTCAATCACCAGCAGAGGAGTGGAGACAAGATTTCAACCGAGTGCAAAGCAAAAATTAATGTTTTCATCACACGTTCTTTTCATTTATTAGGGCTTATCACTTATCCTGTTAACTTATTTTTAGAAAGAATTTCTCTAACACAAATCATAGTTATTGAAGGAAATCTTTTTATATGTCTCCTTAATCTTCTGTATTCTCCCATCAATTAAACAGATCTCTTAAGCTATGGTGAATAATCATATGGACTAGTCATAGAATATTATTTGTCAGGAACCATACAGGATTATTTATGTTAAACAGCACTAATTTTCATAACAAACTAAAAGGGCACATGTTAGTAATAACTCATTTTACAGATTAGAAAATTTAGTTTCAAAAGTAAAGTAACATACTGATAACAGTGGATATAAACATGACAAATGGAGACAAACTCTTTATCTCTCTGCTTCTGCATTCTGAAAGGTATCACTGCAGAAATCCTTGATGAACAATAATGCGTGGAATCATGCCTGGAGTTTTTAATTAAATGTCACAACTGTTAGCGCCTCTTGTATCATGTCCTACTGATGTGACAGTATGAGTAGCTTTCATCTTTCAGTTGACTCAATCTATTATTATTGAACAGTTTTGATATAGAATAGTAGAGGTTTTTAAATCTGTAAAATACAAATTGTAAGTCAAAAATAACTTGACATTTAGATAAACTTACTACATAAATACAGAGTCTTCTCAAAAGTAAACAAACCTTCAATGTGTACATATGTTTGTGCTTTGTGGGGGTATGCATGCATGTTTGTGTAACTGTGTAACTACACATGGAATGCTATTATTAAAGTGCACATTTAGAGATGAGAAAAAGAAAAAGATAAGAGTAGTATGATTGAGACAGGCACAAGGTCAAGACATAGAGCTTGAATTACATACAGGAAACCAAGGAAGGCATTTAACAAAAACATGTCATAGCAAAAGTTGCATTTTTGATAACGTATTCTACCTATGTTATGGAATGGGTTGGGCTATCAGTTGGGGACATCACAATAATAAACGTGAAAAATGATAGGAATCTGGAATGTGTCAGATATTGTTATAATATATTTGACCACGGTATACAAGTTCCTAAGAAGGTGGGCTCTGTATCTTAAAATACATGCCTTTTGAAAAATATTTCAAAGAGAAACTACAAATTCAGTGTTCAGTTCTTGTCCAA